AAAAAAAAAAAAAAAAAAAAAAAAAAAAAAAAAATAAATAAATAAATAAATAAATAAATAGATAAGTAAATGTATAAATAGATAAATGTATATATTTATATGTGTATATATTTAGGTAGGTATGTATGGAGGGATGGATAGTATATGTTTGGTTGTTTATTTATTTTTATTTATTTTTTTATTTATTTTTTTATTTTTATTTATTTTTATTTATTTTTTTTTAAGAGAAGAGATAGAGGAAAGATAGAATAACACAAAATAAAGTAGATAACATAAAAAACTAAAATAAAATAAAATAAAATATGTAGATAATCACAAAATAAAAAAATAAAAAAAAAAAAATAAATAAATAAATAAAATAACAGAAGAAAGAAAGAAAGAAAATAAATAAATAAATAAGCTAAATGAAATAAAATACAGTAAATATATAAACTAAATAAATAAATAAAATAAATAAATAAAATAAATAAATAAATAAAAGCTTACAGGTTCAATATGTGCGTTAATATGTAGAAGATCACAAACATAAAACATGTAGGTAATATATAGATAGATAAAAAAATAAATAAATAAACAAAATAAACAAATAAATAAACTAAATAAACAAATAAAAATAAATAAAAATAAAATAAAAATAAAATAAATAAAAAGCTTACAGGTTCAATATGTGCGTTAATATGTAGATGATCACAAACATAAAACATGTAAATAATACATAGATAGATAGATAGATAAAAAAAAAAAAAACAAATAGATAAATAAATAAATAAATAAACAAACAAATAAACTAAATAAATAAATAAAAATAAAAATAAATAAATAAATAAAAGCTTACGGGTTCAATATGTGCGTTAATATGTAGATGATCACAAACATAAAACATGTAAATAATACATAGATAGATAGATAAAAAAATAAATAAAATAAATAAAACAAATAAATAAATAAACAAATAAATAAACAAAATAAAATAAAATAAAATAAAAATAAAAATAAATAAAAAGCTTACGGGTTCAATATGTGCGTTAATATGTAGATGATCACAAACAAGTTTCATTTCATTAATTTGGGGTGTATCGACAGCTAAAGAGAGACAGATTCTTCTTCCTTTTGCTGCTGTATATTTTTTATTTATATAAGCGGGATATATAATACTCCATTTGTTTCTATCTATACCATCATCCTCATTCTCTTCTGTTTCTTCTTTATAAACCCTAAACCCTAAACCCTTCTCTACACCCAGTAAACGACCTAATAGCTCAGGGTTAAACCCTAGGGGCCCCCCCTCAGATGGGGGGCCCCCCATTCCTCCTCCTCCTGCTGCTGCTGCTGCTGCTGCTGCTGCTGCTGCTGCTGCTGCTGCTGCAGCGTTCTTACCACGCGGCATCGCTACACAATATCCTAAACCCTAAACCCTAAACCCTAAACCCTTGACACAAATATATGTTTTATATATTTTGCTTCTTCTTTTCTCTTTATACAGTGGTAGACACACACGCAAAAATTCTGCTGCTGATACACAGTGCTGCTGCTGCTGCTGTTGCTGCTGCTGCTGCTGCTGCTGCTGCTGCTGCTGTTGCTGCTGCTGCTGCTGTTGTTGTTGTTAATGCTGGTCAAGATTCTGCTGTTTTTGCTGCGGTTCTTGCTGCTGCTGCTGCTGCTGCGGCTGCTTCTGCTGCTGTTGCTGCTGCTGCTGCTGCTGCTGCTGCTGCCCGCCAGATGAATGGCTTGGTGGAGCCGGCGGGCTAAACCCTAAACCCTAAACCCTAAACCCTAAACCCTGAAAACTTGAACCCTGTTGGAAGAAAGCAGGGTTTTTGAAGCGCGCGTGTGGATTAGGGTTTAGGGTTTAGGGTTTAGGGTTTAGGGTTTCGGGTTGGTTGGTGTGTTTGTATTCGTCTGTTGAGGGTTTACGAATAAATTTGTGTGAAATGAAGAAAATATAATAAAATAAATAAAAATAAAATAAATTTATTTTAATTTTTTCTTTTTTTTTTCTGAGTTTCTCTGCTGCTGCAGCGTTCTGCTGCCGCATGCATGCATACAAGTCGGTGGTTTCGGTGGTGTTTTCTCTCTATATGGGAGAGAAAAATAATAAATAAAATATATTTTAATTTGTTTTGTTTTTATTTATTTTTATTTATATTTTTTTTTATTATTTTTTCTTTTTTTCCTTCTCTTTATTCTCCTGTGCTACTAAGCCTACATACGCTCTTCTAGACGGTCGAGGGTTTAGGGTTTAGGGTTTAGGGTTTAGGGTTTAGGGTTTAATACAACAACCACAAACACAGACAAAAACTTCTTACTCTTAAAACCATTCATATAAACCAAAAACAAAAACCCTAATCTCTACTGTTGCTGGTGTATATGTAAATGTATGCAACACCCGCAGCAGCAGCAGCAGCAAAAACAGCAGCAGCAGCAGCAGCAGCAGCAGCAGCAGCAGCAGCAGCAGCAGCAGTTAGTCTGCTCCCACCCAGGGATGGTCTTAACTGCGACAGCTTGCACTAAATGTGTCTTTTGCTTAGGGTTTAGGTTTCAGGGTTTAGGGTTTAGGGTTTAGGGTTTAGGGTTTAGGACCCAGTATTCGGGGTTTAGGGTTTAGGGTTTAGGGTTTAGGGTTTGTTTTCTCTCTTACTTTCTTCCGTCTGTATTATCTATGTTTATTTGTACTAGCCGTTTCAAGCTCTTCCCGCTGCTGCTGCTGCTGCTGCTGCAGCTGCTGCAGCTGCTGCAGCTGCTGCAGCAGCAGCTGCAGCAGCAGACTTGTAGTTTTATTTCTTTCGCTAGCTGCACCCCCATCCGTCTCCATGCTGCTGCTGCTGCTGCTGCAGCAGCAGCAGCAGCAGCAGGGGCCCCCAGGGGTGGTGGGGGGCCCCCTCTTTTCGGTGTTTCTTCTGGCCCCCTCTCTGCGGGTGTATTGACAGCTCCGCTGCAGCAGCAGCAGCAGCAGCAGCAGCAGCAGCAGCGGCAGCAGCAAACTGCCGCTTTCCTGCGTATGTCTGCTGCTGATTCTTTAAGAAGATTCCAGCAGCAGCAGCAGCAGCAGCAACTGAAATCTCCTTGGGGCCCTCCTCGAGCCAAAGCTGCAGCAGCAGATAACCTATCGGCAGCAGCAAACTCAGACATAAAGAAACTCCACAAACAGCAGCAGCAGCAGCAGCAGCAACAGCAGCAGCAGCAGCAACAGCAGCAGCAGCAGGAGAACTTGCATCCGATAGAGATCATCCTCCCCCCCTCCACCGACAGCAGCAGCAGCAGCAGCAGCAGCAACCACCCCACCGC